GGGGGATTTGGGGAGTTTACTCTAGTATAGGGTAGCAAAATTCAGCTGAACTAGCTCTGGTATAGGCTAAGGGTTCCAGGGTCCCAGCGGTACATCCCCACCCAGAAATTCCCAAAGTACCTCTCCCGGGGTGACAAGTCCAAGTAAGGCCTAGAAATAAGGGTAAAGCAAGTAAGCTGCTAGCTGAAAACGAAAAGCAAAATTGACTATGAGATCACTTCAGATTAAAATTCAAAAGATAAACGTACCTAAAAGAGAAATGACCAATACCTTTTATGGAAACATTTCGCAATCTACTTTGTTGACAATTAAGTGGCCACTTGTGTCACGCATTATCACTCAGCTCTCCGAAGACAACCCAAGATGTCGGAGCCTCCGTACGCTTCGATTTCAGACAAGAAACAAGCTCCCAGTTCCCTTAGATTGTGGAAGATATTGACTGGGGTGTCAACTCTAGTAGCCGTCGCTATCACCGCCGTTTTTATCTGGTACGTTCTCACACATAAATCAGATTCAAGAAGCACCGAATATCAAGTGGACAAAAATATCCAGAATGCCTTGGCATGCCCCCAGCTACCTACACTGCTTCCCTTGCCCAAACCGACGCCTGAAAGAATCACCGAGGTCTTCCAGAAATTAGAATCAGCCCTGAGTGCTTTAATAGACAAGGAATCGTCGCTGCCTGCCATTTCTATGAATGTCTTTTACCAAGATGAAATTCTGTGGAGCGGCCATTTTGGAAGCAAGGTGTATAAACAACCTGAGAGGAAACCCGACAACAGCACCGTGTACCGAATTGGAAGCATCACAAAGATCTTTGCCGTCCTAATGATGTTCAATTTTTACGAAGAAGGCAAAATCTCCTCGATTGATGATCCTCTAAGCAAGTATGCTCCTAATTTTGCTATTAAAAACCCTTATACTAACGACAACATCACACTGCGAGAGATCGCGAGTCAAATGTCAGGGCTACCTCGCGAGGCACCATGTTTATACAGCTGCCGTAACACAACCTCCGCCGAGCAACTCGCATTGTTGAAGGACCGCACGCTTATACTCCCGCCATGGGTCCAGCCATCTTACAGTAACCTTGGTTATGGATTATTGGGCCGACTCCTGACCGAGAACTTACTCCAGAACGAAACTTTCGAGAGCTGGACACAGGAAAACATTCTTAAACCCCTCAGGATGGTAAACACGGGTTTTAAAATCACAGACGAGGTCAAGAAGAACATAGCCTATCCGTATCTACCCAAAGGAAAGAAAATGGCGTTTTTAGATATTGGATGGATGGCGCCCGCTGGTCAGATGTACTCAACCATTGATGATCTAGCTAAGCTTGGAATGATGTTTGCCCAACCCGAGAAACAAAAACTCTTCAAGCCCGCAACTCTTCGTGAAATGATGACGCCAAAAAACATAGCCCCAGATGGTGTTACTGTTTGGGGCTCACCGTTTGAAATGACCTTCAAAGAACACGTTGTTGTCCGCGCCAAAGGTGGAAACATAGACACATACGACGCCAAGTTTTCAGTTATCCCCGAGCTTGCTCTTGGAGCAAATATTCTCACGAGTACAGTTTTCTACCCACATCCAGATGCGTCTGAAGGCTTGGCATTGCTGAACAATCTGCTGATTCCGACATTGAACGAAACGCTGTTTGAACTTCAGCGTGAAGCCCACTTCCCGATCGATCCAGCGCCTTTTACTGGTAAATTTCAGGTCACGCAAACTAATCCCATATTCGGAACTATAAGCATTTACAATGTTACTATCAGCGAGTATCAAAATATTCTGCGATTTGTGTATGCGTCAACAACGATTGAGATCCGGTATATCGAAGAGAAATTGGTTTTCCAGGCAAGAAGCCATACCGCTGGGATGACATGCTTCATGGAACGTGTAGGGACATTAGCAGATATGTATTATGACCCCCCTGGGAAGGATAAATTGTCCCGCGGTTTTCATGTTCCACAGTGGGCGATAGTTGCGAAACGGGTGAAAGCTTCGAACGACAGTTTCGCCGGTGAGAGCGAAGGTAACGTACCGGAATTTCTGTTTAATCCGTTTAAAAGTGCTGTGTAGTGAGAAACCTTAGACGTAAACTTTAAATCAATTAATTTGGTGGTAACTTTACAACGTCAGTGGCTGGAATCATACAATATTGACGAATATTTAGAAATACCCAGCTCAGTTTAGTTGTACGATGTGGTCTTAGCTGTTTGTGAATGAAACGCTAGGGTGTAAAATTCAGCAGTACTTTCATATTATGGTACTTAATAGGCAGTTGTAACAGGTTTCGAAATATTCCTGGAAAACATATGGAAATTGCAATTTTCTTTCAGGAGCCTGGAAAACTCCTTGAAAATTTTCATCTCTCTACCTACACCTGGGAAACGCCTAAAAATTTCTAGTGTTATAAAAAAAAGCAAATGAATTCTTACACTATTTTTTTTCCACAACCACTTAATAACAAGCTAGTTGCCTTTGGAAGCATTATTAAAAAAAAAAAATCACACCGTGGTTTAGGATTTCAGTGTGCGAGAAATTTTATCTTTCTACCCCGAAAAATTCCTAAATTTGCAAATTTCCATCTTCCCTGGCAAGAACGGTCTGCAGACAATCCCTAAAGTGAGATCAGTTAAACGAAAGATATTTCGTGTACTGCACTAGGTGGTTGTAACGTTTTAGTCTGTGGATGAAGTCCTAATGCGTGACCATTCAAATGAAAGTTATTGAGCAGTACTTTCATGAGAGACCCTCTATCATACTGCACAAGGTGCGAGTTCTAATTTTAACTTATATAAGTCTGTTGATGAAACCCTATTGTGTGACTATTTAAACGAAAGCTAATAAGCATTCCTTTCATGTAGTGCAGTTTATTATGCTGCACAGTGAATTTCTAACTTTAAAAATAGAGGAACAAACCCTGGTGTATGTCCAGTCAAATGAAATCATTACTGGGAAGGAAGTTAAAGTAGCACTGTTTCAATACACTGTATAAGGTCGCGTGTTTGGATGATGCTGAATGATACCCTATAGTTCGTAACTCTACCTCATTAGACTACAGCTTGAATATTTCTTGGGATAATCATTGCTTCAGACTCTTAGTCAATAATCATAAGGTAAATTTGCGAACATTGTGTCTCACCAGGAGCAGATATAAAATTGATGCTCTTGGAAAACTATGTCAGTCGAGAGGTTTATAGTATTAAACGACAAATTAGTCAAGCTAGCATAATACTGTACAAAGATTCTTATGAATGATTTTAAATAAATGTAATGAGTGCGAGTAAAATAATCTTCTCAGCAATATCTACGTTATTGACGTTACTTCATGTCCTTATATTCCTACACTTACGGGACACATGAACTAATAAATTAGGTCGACATTACATGAAGACCAAGTGATTTACATCGAGCGATTGTTGTTGATTCTTGTCATGATGATTAGGAGGTTCTGAAGATACATGATTATCATGATTTGATAATCTGCTTTCTTGGAATTGGAAGATTTTCACCAAAAAATGTTGTTTTCCTTCCCGAGAATATGCTGGTCGGTCTCTAACCGCGAAAGTGTTCGATCATAGCGCCTACAGACCTTTGAAAAGGGTTCAACCGCTAAAGCCCTCTGCAACGAAATACCTATCAAAGCCTGACTTCTGGCCTTGAACTTGAGACAGCGTCATGTAAACCAAATAAACTCTTACAAAATTTTATTAGTTTTGTGAAAACAGTAAAATCCTGTCGTGCACCTCTCATTTGGCAGAAACTGAGATGAAAATCACTATATTTGCCCTTTTTTTAAAGTATCACAGAAATCATTATATGGTTAGGCATGACGCTGTCTCAAAATTAGAGACGTTTGTATGGATTTTGGGCCATGCTTCATGGTCCATAACTTGGTCTCTGTTTACCCTTGGACACTTGAATAATCTCAACATGTCCTTTCATGTGGAGGCGTCAACATTTCTCAATTTACTTTGATGACAGTTCGGTACCAAATATGCCACGTATTTTTAGTTCTCTCCCAAGATGTTGGACTCTTCGGACGTTTCGATTTTAGGTAAGAAGAAACAACCCTCCAGTTACCTGAAACTGTGGAAGATACTGGCTGTGGTGTCAACTCTGGTAGCTGTCGCTGTCACTGCTGTTTTGATCTGGTACGTTCTATCACACAAATCAGATTCAGAAAGCAACGAACAAGAAGCAGTCAAAAATATCCAGGATACCTTGGAATGCCCCCAGCTGCCGACACTGCTTCCCTTGCCCAAACCGACGCCTGAAAGAATCACCGAGGTCTTCCAGAAATTAGAATCAGCCCTGAGTGCTTTAATAGACAAGGGATCATCGCTGCCTGCCATTTCTATGAATGTCTTTTACCAAGGTGAAATTCTGTGGAGCGGCCACTTTGGAAGCAAGATGTATAAACAACCTGGGAAGAAACCCAACGACAGCACCGTGTACCGAATTGGAAGCGTCACCAAGATCTTTCCTGTTCTGATGATGTACAAGTTTTACGAAGAAGGCAAAATCTCCTCGATTGATGATCCTCTAAGCAAGTATGCTCCTAATTTTTTTATCAAAAACCCTTATACCAACGAAAACATCTCACTGCGAGAAATCGCGAGTCAAATGTCAGGGCTACCTCGCGAGGCGCCATGTTTGTTTAGCTGCAACACAACCTCTGCTGAACAACTCGCACTATTGAAGAATCGCTCGCTTATACTCCCACCATGGGTCCAGCCATCTTACAGTAACCTTGGTTATGGATTGTTGGGCCGCCTCCTGACCGAGAACTTACTCCAGAATGAAACCTTCGAGAGCTGGACACGGGAGAACATTCTAAAACCCCTCGGGATGGTAAACACAGGGTTTGAAATCACAGACGAGGTGAAGAAGAACATGGCCTATCCGTATCTTTGCGGAGGAAAAAGAACGCCGTTTATGGAAATTGGATGGCTGGCTCCTGCAGGTCAGATGTACTCAACCATTGACGATCTAGCTAAGCTTGGAATGATGTTTGCCGAACCCGAGAAACAAAAACTCTTCAAGCCCGCAACTCTCCGTGAAATGATGACGCCAAAAGACATAACTCCAGATGGTGTCACTCTTTGGGGCTCACCGTTTGAAATGACTTTCAAAGAACACGTTCTTGTTCGCGTCAAAGAAGGAAACATAGACACTTATAACGCCAAGTTTACAGTTATCCCCGAACTTGCTCTTGGAGCAAATATTCTCACGAGTTCAGTTTATTACGTACAGCAAGATGCGTCTAAAGTCTCAACTTTGCTGTACAGTCTCCTGATTCCAAGACTGAACAAAACGCTGTTTGAACTTCAGCGTGAATTCCACTTTCCGATCAATCCAGCGCCTTTTACTGGCAAATTTCAAGTCAAGCAAGGCAATTCCGTATTCGGAACTATACAGACTTACAATGTTACTATCAGTGAGTATCAAAATATTCTGCGATCTACGAATCCACATTCCTCATCAACCACTGAGATCAGGTATATCGGAGAGAAACTGGTTTTCCAGGCTAGAAGCCGTTACCCTGGGACGTCGTGCCTCATGGAGCGCTTTGGGACACTAGCAGACATGTATTATGATCCCCCTGAGAAAGATAAATTGTCCCACGGTTTTTATGTTCCACAGTGGGAGATAGTTGCGAAACGGGTGAAAGCTACGAGCGACAGTTTTGCCGATGAAAGCGAAGGTAACATGGAGGAATTTCTGTTTAACCCGTTTAAGAGAGCTTTGTTGTGAATATAACTTGAACATGGCCGCTCAATGTGGGATTTTGATTTCCTTTGAATCATTCACTCCCACACTCCCTGTTGCCACTATACTTAACTTAACATCAATTAATTCGGTTACAACTTTTCAACGTAGCGTCAGTAGTTGGAATCATAGAATAGTAACGAATATCGAGAAATACCGCGCCTAGTTTAGTTGCGCAAGGCGGTCTTCGCTGTTTGTGAATAAAACCCTTGCTACTTAGCAGTACTTTCATATCATGACACTGTTGGTTCAAACTTTTAACAGGGCTCGAATTACTTCTGAAATTCCTAGAAATTAGAATTCTGGGAATTTGTAATTTTATGTTAGGACCCTGGTGAACTCCTATAATTTTAAAGTGGTAGCAAAAAAAAAAAAAAAAAAAAAATGAGTCGTTGTAATGTACCTTGTCCATAAAGGAACAAGGATGGTTGAGGATTGAAAAGATTGACACGGATTACGCAAGGATTACAAATTCCTGGATGCCGTCAGTGGCGGATCTCCCCTCCCCCTTATTTTGGGTAAAATAAATAAAAAAAAATCACAGAAGGAAGAAAAGCCGACAGGGCAAGCAAAAACAACCACCACCCCTTTAGCTCAAGGTCTGGATCCGCCACTGGCCATTATCTCTGACAAGATCGCACTAAGCTCTGCAGACAAGCCCTAGTGTGTGATCAACCACAAGAACGCTGTTTCGTGTGGTACTTTGTACAAGGTGGTTCTAACTTTTTAAATCTGTGGATCAAACCCAGTGTATATCAACTGTTATGAACCAGTAGAATGAAGTGGCAGTGTTTCACTACGCTGTTAAATATCGCGTGTTTGGATGATGCTCATTAATACCCTAGCTTGTAACCCTGCCTCATTAGACTAAAGGCTGAATATTCATAGACATAATAATTGTTTCAGACTGTTAGTCAATAATCATAAGTTTAATTACGTGCATTGTGATGTAACAGGGTTTACCAGGGGCAGGTATAGAATTGTTGTTCTTAGCTAAAGTAATTTCAGTCGAGAAGTATATATATTTGACGACAAACTAGACAAGCTAGCATCGTACAAAGATTATTAGTAAATAGATGATGTAAGTGCGAGTGAAATAATATTCACAGCAATGTTTATGTACGTTTTTGAAGTTAGTTTACATATATTCCTATACACTTATGGGACACATTTTAAAGCAAACAACCCACAACAGGTGGCGGAAACGTCATGACAATCTGGTGAATACACTCACTTTGACACAGTGTGACCCCCTTTGAAAAATCCTGGCTACACCCCTGAGGAAGGGCTTTATGTGGCGATAGGAATAAATGTAAGTGATAAGCGAATTCTATAGAGAGATGCTTTATAATAATAATAATAATAAAAAATCATCAAAAGACAACGTGTAACACTAATCTTGTGTTCGAATTGATAAAACGAATCTCTGTTTGATAAACTTTGAGTCTTCCTAGTTCCTACTTACCACTCATGTGAGGTCAACTTCGATATATTAAATTCTGACTTGGCTCGGAGGCTTAGAGGAATAAAACAAAAGAATTAAAATAATTCATCCCTCAACTTTGATCGTATTTTCTTTTTTGCTTTTAATCCCTTAAGCCTCGGAGGCAAGTTAATAGAATAATCATATCTAACCTATCTGACCACAGGGGTAACTTCTAACTCTTTCATAGAAGACAGAGCTAGAGTAACCAAAAAATATCACATATAAATAGATTTCTACATCCATACTTATTCACATGAGCTAATTTGACAGGCTGAGCTATCACACACGTGCCATCAGCCTTTATAGAATGTAGTTCGGAATGGAGGCCATCCACATCAGTAATGACCTCGTTTTCTCGTTTCTCCGTTGTCTCAGAGGAAGATTTGGAGAGATATCTGGATAATTCAGTTACCAAGAAGACAAATGAAAGGAGATTGACCGTTATGCGGCTTTAAAACCTGAAATTGCCCAATAACCTGATGAGTGCATTTAAACAGCTGCAAGTTTTAAGCGATCATTCAATCCGCGCGTGACTTTGCTTAGGGGTGAAGTTCAATTCACACTACTTGACATATAAAGAAATAACTAGAAATTGTGGTGTGAAGATTTAGCTAGAACTTCGGCAAAATCAACTAGATTTTTCACTCTCGATTTCTGTGAGGTGAAAGCTGGCTCGGCTTTCGACCTCACTGATTAAGTGTTACAGCGCAATTTACCGTCAATTTAGATGCGCACACAGCCAGCGGTTTGAAAATGACCATATGGACATTAGAGGCCAGATCAGAATATGGGTCATAGAAAAGTCTAAAACTGAGTCAGGATTCGGTGAAAAAATATCCTTCTTGAGCCTAGCAATCGACTTTTATTCACGAGAAATTTTCCACCAAATTATCCATTTCTCGATATCCACACAGCCATCTCTCTTGATCAAGGGGAACGTTTATACCCTTTTGAGATAAAAATCATACGTGTAAGTTTAATAACTTGGCTCAAGACCACATCAACTTAGATAATTTTTTAACACGCTGGAACAGCATAAATTTATTTCAAACTCTTGAAACTAAACAAAAGCAAACTAACTATTTTACCTAGACATATAGCTGTACGATAGGTGAGTTGACAAAAATTAAGCTTTAAAGTTCCCTTCTATTGCGACCCCTTAATGTTAGTGAAAGGACAAGAATGTTCAAATTTTCTGTCTTCTACATCTTCATCTACATCTACGTCTTGACAGGTACATAGACCTTTTATTCGCTAACTAAATATGTGATATCAGAATTGGTTAAAAAGCACAACTCTCGAACTAATATATATTTTCTGCCGTCTAAACGGAGGAAAACCAAAACCAGTAGTTTTTTTCCCTCTATTTCTGGGGGCAAGATATCTTAGCTCTTATTGCTTCGCGTTCTAAAAGTTTTCTATCAGGTTTTTGATCGGGTTTACAACATTCACTAAAATTAATTAGTCTAACTGTTGTTAATGATCAAATGGTTTACACTGTATGTACAATCAAGTATATGGATACGAGTTCTTGTTCACAATCACCCAAAATCGTATCCAGGTCCCACTCAATACAAACACTAGCCTGGCCGTTGGGGATCTGTGTACGAAATAACAACATTTTACAACCCCAACCCCCTAAAGAAACAATGGAGCGTATGCACATGACGTCACGAAAATATGCGAAAATATGCTCGGCATCTGTCTGCGTACATTATCTGTTCCGAGAAGCAAACAGTTTTCCGAGAGCGTAGCTCGAGGAAAACTTTGTGCCTTGAGGAACAGATAATGCCAGTCCAAGTAACGGTGATTGGGCTGGCAACGCAACAACCAGGACATACGTGTTCTATGTAATTTCCAGCCGCGCATCTATAAAAAAAATAATGCACACCCAGCTTCAAAAGCGGGTGTACAGAGCTATATTCTAATGGCAAATACTAACATGCAATATTCGTAAGATACAACTGTTTCAAGAAAGGTTGTCCAAATTCCAATTTCTTCCGCCCTAAGCAATTAAAAAGCTGCCGTTTCACACTCAGCTATTTCGAACGCCATCCGTTCTATAATTTGCCTAGCAAATGACCGGCTAACAGTCGAAAAGTCAGCATTCCAATTTCTTTACGATGGTTATTTACATTTAACTTTAAGTTTATAATAGCAGATTTGCACGTTGTCGTCATTTGACTACAATTACCAGAACTACTTTCGTTTTTTCTTTATTTTTTAAAATTTGAAGCCCCACTGGGGTTTAAATAACAATTGCCCTAATTAGCATAAAAAAACAGAAAGTGAAGGGTTGTGATAGTTGTAGTCAAATGACGCCATTATGTAAATCGCCTTTTTTTAACCAAGTGTTTCACTTGCTCGCCTGACGACGCACATTAGTACCTTGAGAATCACTAGTGTTCACTGAATGAAGATTACACGATTTCCTCACAGCCTATGCTAGAGGGATTTTTTTTGCATGCAATATACGCCTTAATGTGTTCTTCTAAGTAGTCCAGCGGAAACTCCCCTTCGCGCAGAATCTCGTAATGGAAATCTTTCAGTGAGAAGTCGTCACCCAGCTCTTTCTCGGCCATTTCCCTGACGCGTTCAATTTCTAACTGACCAATCATGTAGCTTGTTACAAATGCCGGGGTGCTCTGAATTCGGTAAATGTCTTTCTTGACTTGATGGTTGTTGTCTTCCCAGACATACTTGCGGTACATCTCCAGAATAAGGCTCACGTCTTTCCCATAGTAATGTAAATCAATATCTACCGCAGCCCTTAGGGCGTGTAGAATCTGCAAAATAAACAAATAAACAAATAAATAAATAAATAAATAAATGGAAACTCAAAGGATTTGTTCGCTGCATTCACTAATTCCTACTTTATGCTTTTCATTTTTTTTGAAGTTGAAATATGTCCGGTACGTTCTTTTGATTAATTATGTTGAAAAAGATGGTTCTAACTTTTTAGTTTCTTTAATGAAACACTTGTGTGCGACCATTCACATNTTACTATCTAGTCTTTTTGGTGTGATCATCAGATTTTCAGTAATTTACAAACGTACAAGTTTTTCAATTACTTGTACTTACAACCAATTAGACTGCAGCATTTGCATCGGTGTACTTTTCTGGAAGAATTCATTACAACTAATTTTATTTAGTACTCAACAGATTTTTCGGGAAGACCTTACTAGCCACTTTATCATCCATTCCGTCTGAACCGTAAGGTTTGACTTGACCTCTTTTGCTCAAATTTGTCAGCAGATTTCACAAGAGATCAGCAGCGAAGGACAAATATCAGCAGATGATGAACTAAGTGTAGAAGATCTGATGAAAAAGCTCAAAAGCATATAGACTATCAGAGTGAAACAGTTATAAAGTTAAAACTAGCAGCATCCAAAATGTTATTTCATGACTGATGTAAGATTCACATCAATAGAATATACATGATGTTCATAATGTAACAGACATCACGTGACATACATTGTGTGATAGACATTGCGTGACATGTATTGCGTGACTTCCAGTAGTAAGAAGTGTCATACTGGAAATGTTAATTGCATCAGTTTTGAATTCTGCGTCAGTGAGGCAAACATACTTAGCTTGCAAGCTGAGCATTTCATGCACTCTCTACTACATTTCATTGAAAACATGGTGTACTTTCATCTTTATTAACGGGAACATTCTAACTCTTTCGTTTATGGATGAAACCATAGTGTGTGACCATTCATATGAAAGCTACTGAAGAGCACATTCATGTGGTACTGTTTATTATGCTGTACAAGGTGGTTCTAACTTTTAAGTCAGTTGATGAACCCTAGTGTGTGACCAATCAAATGAAAGCTACTGAGAGTACTTTCATGTGGTACTGTTTGTTATGCTGTACAGGGTGGTTCTAACTTTTGAGTCTGTGACCATTCAAATGAAAGTTATTCTGTGGTACTTTCATATACTAGTATTTGTTTTATTTTTTCCCAAAAAAGAATTTTAAAAAATATATCAAATGTTTTATTTGGCCACACGAGTGATCTTTTAAGCGAAAACTACATGCAGCATCTAATCAACTTTGCAGAATAACAAACTGATCGCCAGTTGTCTTGATACTGCAACAAGTTCTCCCCACTGATACTAATAGTAAGTGTACGGAGCTTAGTATGGAGAAATTAAACAACCATTTAGGTCTTGGAAATGCTGAATATTTTCCTTTTTACCGAGTATATAATTATTTATTAACTAGATAAATTATTTTATGTCTTTTAACCATGCATCATGTGGCTAAAAGAGATGTAAAGAAGTTGGCATGGCAAATAAAGAGAAGTCTTTGCAACGGCTCGAACCATCTCTTTTTGATTACAAACCCAAGTTTTGGATCTTTCTTTTGCTTTTATATACTAAGTTTTCCACACAGCCGTGGCACTGAAGAAGTTCATTTATTACCATGAATTAGTTTCGTGTTTCTTTCTTTTGGGAGTATTGACGGGTGGGGAATATCCGAGGGAGCACACGCCGGGGTAACAGGCAAGAAA